CTTGGCCTAGGCATGGCTATTTATAGCCAAAACTTGGCCCTTGATGTCATGGTTTACGTCATGTATGCTTACCTTAAATGGACAGCCGTCCATTCCCTTACCAAGCCTTTTGTTGTTTTTTTTTTTTTTTTGCACGTTTTTCCAAATCTAGCATAGTATCTTGTAAAAATCTAACATAGTATCTTTCACATATATATATATATATATATATATATATATATATATATATATATATGAATATCGTCGATATTTGACCTAAATTATAGTTATTTGACTCGTTTTTATGCGAAGAATCCAATTTGGGATCCATTTGTTCATAAAAAAATTTATTTATTAATTGATACATACATATATATATATATATATATATATAAAAAATAATTCTTAATTATATAGAATCAAAATTAATGACCTAATTAACGTGTTAATAATTTATATATATATGGGTCATCACATTACTTCCATTAATCACACAATGCATATATATCACAATTCTGTTATTATCAGCAAGACAAACCACACAATTGTTTATTAATGACAAGTAGCATAAGCCTCTAAAGCACCATCGTTTAGTAAATAACCACGTTGTATCTATAAGTTCGTTCACCCAAACACATTTCAATTCACTCAATAATTATCAACCATGTCAATGATGTGATATGGCTTAGTCGCTATTCCAATCACAAGCAATAAGCCACATCATCACACATTCTTTGACAAGTAAAACACCTAAACTAAACTCATGCACACACAGAGAATTCACCCACCTCAAGTCCTACCACACACATAATTACCACATATAAATATCTTCCACATATGTATTTAATCTTAATTATGCATTTATAGCAATTTATTCATGCTTGTGTTAGCATATCCTAAACTCCCTTCCAAATGGTGCACTCTTAACCACCATTAACTTTATTCATCTTTTATTCACCTTTCTCATCTCAATTCTAGTTAAATTCTCATTCTATGTGTTTGTATGTCATTAAACCCATAAGGAACTTATTTAAGATCCTATAAATACCTTGATAATGTTTTAGATCAATTACATAAGGGCCAAGAATATTTTAGTTAATTTTCCAAAATTGGCTCTGTTGAATCGGTTGAAGTCTATCCTCATTCAACATGTTGAACACATGCTTCAACCAGCTGATATGCAACCAGTACTCTGTTCAACCGATTGAACCTTTCTTCAATCGGTTGAACGTTGTTCCAAATTCCATAACTTAATTCAAACTCCATTTTCTTCCAGCCAACCTCATTTTTAACACCACACAACATCTATCCAAGCCTAAAGGATGTATTTAGAAGTGAAAGAACACAGAAATTCCTAAGAATTCCTTACCTTCATTGTACCTAGTTCCTTTGATTTCGTCCTAATTTCACCCAAAAGCTCTAAGTTCTCTTCAAATCCTTAATACAACTCCACTCCACTCCTCTACAAAGCAAAGATCACACAACTCACACACAAGAAGAAATCCATCACTCAAGAACACATGCAAGTGCAACTATGATGTGTTGGGTTTTTTTTTTTTTTTGGTGAAATCTAGTTGTGTGTTGATTCAGATGATGACCCAATCCAAAATAATGTTGTGTGATTTTTAATGAAAAATTTTTTGGGCTCATTTTGTAACCCTGTGCACAAGACATATAAAAACTGTTATTTTTGGTGATTAGAGTTCTTGATTCTATATGGCCGACCGCACTTTGTATTCTTTCTTGATAATAGTGAAATCCCTGCAGTTTTATGGATGTAGACAAATTGTCAAACCATGTAAATTATGTATTGTGTGATTGTTTAAATTGCATTCTTATCGTTATTTTCATTAATTTAACTTTATTGTCATCATTTGATTTCACGACATGATGAACTCCTTCTCTCTCTCTCCGAAATCCTTTGACTTTTCTTTTCTTTTTCTTTTTTTTATCTTCCCTTTCTCTCCTCTTCCACCGCCTAAAACATTTGTTCCCTTTCTATATTTTTCCCAACACAAGCTTGGAGAAACAACACTCAGCCGAGAAATGTCCCCTCCATGCAACCTTTTAACTTAATTACACTAAGGGCCCTTCTGGTTTTGCTAATTTTCTTATTTAACCATTTGAGAATTCCCAACTCTTTTAAAATCCCATCCGTACAATCTAATTAATTGTAATTCAACAGCAAAACTCTTTAATTAATAGTATATGTAACTACTCAGGGTTTAATTATCACAATATTAACCTCGCACAAATATTAATAAATTACACTTTAACCCATAATTTTAATAAAATATCATGGTTTGCGCATTCAGATTTCACAGCTAGCACCAGAAGTCATTGTAGGTTTGATGGCGAGAGTAGCTTTCAATCTCAGACACGGCCAAGCTGGGGCAAAATGACGACATTGGGGGCCGATGGCAAAGACGGTCAAAAATTATGAACTCGATGATGAGGTTTTGAAGGATGTAAGAGAAGGAGACAAAGGCACAACTGAAGAACCACAAGAAGAATAGAGTAGAGCCATTAGAGCTTGAATCAGAACCAATGGAACAAGTGAAAGAAGAAGAAGTACGTAGAAGAATAAGAGTTTGTGGGTATTATAATATGTGAAAATTGGAACCAAGTATGGTGACGGAGGGTTAAGTGGTGGTGGTGCCTCAAGGGCTTTCAAGTAATGAAAAAAAAGAGAAAGAACAGAGCTTGAATTTAATACCAAAAACGACTTTTAAAGTGGATTGACTTTCAATTTTCCTTAATCTTAACATAAAAAATTCTAAAGATTGACTACTTTCTTCTTATTAAAAAATAGGGTAAATTACACAGAACCCCTCAAACTTAGGATCAATGGCATATCACCATCCTAGACTTTTACGGGCTACAGTTAACCTCCTATTTATAAATAAACTGCAAATATGATAGAAATCATGAATTTCAATGGTGTTTGAGCTACACTCCCCAATCAAATGGCCTGAACTGTGAGTGCATTCAAGTTCAATTTTTTTAAAAACAAAAACAGCTGATAAAGGCCAAACCTTAGCTCTATGATATCCAAGTGCATCGGCTTTCTCTCTCTCTCTCTCTCTCTCACACACACAAGCGCATGTCAAAGTCCGACGCAACATGATTAATCGACACGAATTAAATATTTGTGTAAAATTTTAATAGATTTGGGTGATAAACGGGTTAACCCGTCTAACATATTTAATATACAGGTCGTGTTCGGATAAGTCTTTTCAACCCATTTATCCGTTTAAATAAAATTAATATAATAATAAATTAATAATTATTTTAAAAAATTAGGCAATTTTTTTTAATGACAGCCACATAATATATATATATATATATATATATATATATATATATATATATATATATATATATATATATATATATATATAGTGATAGCCAGATTTTTTTTTTTAATTTAGTGACAGTCACAAAAAAATATAATAATAAATCAATAATAAATTAAAACTAAACGGGTTAAATGAGTCATGTCGTTTCCTCGTTTATTAAACGGTTCGTGTTGAGATTTTTTACCCATTTATTAAACGGATCGTGTATTAATTTACATCTTTTTTTTCTATTATTCATTTAATTTGATATATAACCGTTTAACCAGAGAGATTGGTCACCCCTACATATACACACAGGTGCGTGTCAGTGTCAATGCAATTCGGGTACGAGGACAGTGATTGCTCTGTAACTGGGTGGCAAAACTGCGGTGGAGGAGGACTCTGTTGGGTTTGAGGGCATCCGATATCTCTGCAATTCGAGTTGGAGGGCATCCAGTGTCTCTGTAGTTCAGGTTGGAGGGCATTCGGTGCTAAGACATTTGTGTTTTTGGGTTGTCAGTGGAGTGGGTTTTGGTTTGACCTTGAGTGTTGTCTGTCGAGGGTTTTGATTAGACTATGATACCGAACGAGCTATCATATAAAATTTTTATGATACTAGTTTTATTTATTATTTTTGTCATTTGATTCAATCAGCATATTATCTGTAAATATCAGTTAATAACCACATTTATATGTCAATATTATAAATTCAAATAATGATGTGAACAAAATAAAAAACAATAAAGCAAATAAAAACTTGTAAATGCTATTTAAAAAATAAATAAATTGGATCACTATATCAACAATCCTCTTCTAAATTGAAACATTAGCTTCTATGTTTTTTTTATTGTCCGACTTACAATGTCACTGAAGATTGAACTATTTATTATTTTATTTTTATTATTAGATTTAATTTTTATTAAACTCTATTTTGGCAAGAGTCTTACTAACCCCTTACAAGAATTAGCAGGTATAAATTTTTTAATTATAAAACATGGTATTGGTGATCCAAATACTAAAAATAAATTAAAATTTTGCTTGAATTGCATATATAGTTTACACATATTTCTTCTATAGATTTCACAAAAAATTTAGGCCCTTTTTTATTTGCATATTAAAAAAAGTATTTTTGGGAAGACTTTTAGAAAAATGTGTTTTGTTATTTTTTGTGTCGCAAAATTTGTTTAATTATATGATTTCAAAAAATAGTTTTACAAAATAAAAAGCAGTAAAACTTGTTTGAACAATAATTCAAAAAATAATGAAATAAAAATATGGTGGTAGAAGTGCGGTGGTGGTGACAGTGGAAGTATGGTGGTAGCGGTGGTAGTATTTTTTAAATTCTGAAAAAGTTGTTTTTAAAAGTATACAAAATAATCTTAACTTGTTTTCTAAATTTATCTACTTTTTATTCTCAATTTTTAAAAAATAAAAATAAAAATAAAAAATAGTTGTTCAAATAACTTTTTTTTCTAAAAATATTTTTAAAAACAAAAAAATTATTTTTGACATACAAACAAAAAATTGTCATAATTTGTTAAATTTTGTTGGTGGTGTATTCATAGGCTTACATAAAAGTCCAAATTCGTGACAAAAAATCCAGCAAATGAAAGGCAAAGCAATCAGGCATTCAAAAAGGAACACGTCTACTGTTTCTGAACCACATCCATTCCCTCTAAATCACTACCGCTCACTACGTCCTCTCACACTCTCTCGCTGCCTAGAAGTATTCTGCCTTCTCTCTGTCGGCCCCAATTCAGACGCCTTCCTCGAGTTCTCTCGGTGCCTTCTCTCACTCCGCCTACCCTCCGCCAAGAAGACGCCGCTGCCTTGTATCTCTCTCTGATCGCTGACCAGGTAACACTCTGCCTTGTTTTTCTTACTGTCTCTCGATAATGTTATACACTTTCTGTCTTCTCTCTCTCGTTGATCGCTGTCTGCTGATCAGAAACATCTATGAATTTTAGAATCTTGTTATCACATATTTGGTATTTTTTATGAATTTCATCATTCGTATACAAAGGCCAGTAAATGTAACAAATGCATTAGACACCACTAATCCTCACAGAATTAGGAAAGATTTATCAATCTTATCCTTGATTTAAAGTTTAAAGACACAGAATCAAAACTATTCATTAACAAAATGATGTCCCGACAAAGGGGAAAGAGTCTCACTCAAGAATTTCATGGCTTCTATGTAATGGATTTAAAGTTTAAAGACACAGAATCAAAATTATTTCAGATGGTGGGTTTATATTCATCAATTTCAGATGGTGGGTTTATATTCATCTATTTTATATGGTGGGTTTATGTTCTGTTATGGATGATGGGAGTAAAATGCCCGAAAATATCAGCAGCTTATGCTCTCTCTTTCTCTCTCTGGTGTTTTTTCATGGCTTCTATTTATTTTGAAATAATCAGAAACAGCTTTGTAGCTGCATAGTGTTATTGAAAAATAGAATGGTGAGAAGTGCAGTGTGCATAAGGATGTGCAATTCAAATTGCTCTCTAGAGTTGCTCAAGACTTCTACTATACATGAAGCCAATCATTATTGGATCTTTATTGTTTGTGTTATGATATTATGTTATTGTGTGGTTGATTTGTTGTACAATAGTGAGATAGCAACACTTTGGTTTATGCTCGAGGGCAGCTTTGTGGTATGATGGTGATGAAGGACTTGAGGATCCCAGAAAAGGGTTAGAAGGGGGCCAGGATGTCTTCGGCAATTCCCCTCCAATGCTTAAGTCAGCTTCCGAGGAGGGAACGAGACTGTTCAATGCTAGGGTTAAGGAACCAAGCAATAAACTTTGCGGTCAACTGTTTCCACGACCCTATGCTCTCCGAGGGTGGGCTCTCATACCATTTTATGTTCGTGTTTCTGAGGCTCATTGAGAACACCTGGCATAAGAGTTTCGGGTTTGTATCGTAGAATAACATAAGGTGTTTGTATTGTCGAAGATGGGCCTCCGGGTCGAATCAGTCATTGTACACTTTAAAACGAGGCACTACGAACTTGTGAGGCATCTCCACCTCCCTTATCCTGTGGACGAAGGGAGAGTGAACGAGCTCATCATCGATATCGTCCCCCCGTGGCTGGGTAGCCTTCTCAAGCTTTTTCGAGTTTAAGTAGGACTTTAAGTCGTCACACCCCTTCTAGTGTTTAAGGGGCGTTCCGTTGCGTCTTACATGGACAACTTTTACGGAAGAATGGAACCCTCTTCGGATGCATCCCTCTCTTCCCGTCATGGGAGATGTCTACTGAGATCGTCACTAGCTAGCTGTCTGGCTCTTTTCTTTGGGGCTCCAGCTTCTTTGGTCTGAGGATGAGCGAGTTTTAGGTATTTCAAATTTTTCACCTTGTGAGAAAGGTGGTGTAGTAGATTGTCCCATCTCAACTTTTCTCCACTGGAAGTGCTCCTGGTGAAACGGCGGGGAGTCCTAGACCCCTACAACACCCAAACTCGTTTACAACACCAAAACTCGTTCGTCTAGTTGCTCCTCTATGAGGTCAACTAACTCATGGGTGAGGGGTCCACCCTTACCCCTCATGGGACTGGGTATGGTGTGCTAGGACTGTTGCTTGGGTTGGCTGGCATAGTCCTGGCTGGCGACCTGGTCTTGGTCCTGGTCCTGGTCCAAGTTGCCAATATGATGTACTGACTTGGACACGGATACATCTGGAAGGGGGTTGGTCGTTTTGTGGCGTCACAGGTTCTCGTACAAATAGTTTCTCGGTTGAGTTTTAACCATTATGTTGGCTACAAGAAAGTCCTTGCTTTTTCCACAGACAGTGCTAAAATGTGTGTGATTTCTTGCACAATAGTGAGATAGCAGCACTTTGGTTGATGTTCGTGGGTAGCCTTGTGGTACGAAGGTGATGAAGGACATGAGGATCCTAAAAAAGGGTTAGAATGGAGGCCGGAGATGTCTTCGACGATTTTCCTCCAATGCTTAAGTTAGTTTCTGAGGAGGGAACGAGACTGTTCAATGCTTGGGTTGAGGAAGTGTTCAACATACCTTTCTCTTCCAACTAAGAGCGCTATTTATTTCTTCCTGGTGGATAGGCGTCTCTATTGAGGATATCTCGTACGATCCTCCTTGGCGGGAGGCTTCTTGATTGGTTAATCCTTGGGATGGATGTCTAGTTGACCTTGTTAGGTGGCTGGGTATCGAGCCAGGAGCCCTTTTGACCTCGATACATGATCCTTTTATGTGCGTTCACAAGACGTGCATTAATGACATTAAACTTTTGGCACCTAAGTCTTTGCCGATCATTAGTTGCAAGATATGAGGCCGGAGGACTTCTCCTGTAGTAATAAATGCACGACGTCACTCGGAGTGCCGAGGAGTAAATATTTCGTACCCCTTTTCTTCCGAGCATTAAACACCCTTTTGTTTTTTGTCGTATGCTCATGAGGGTCATTTATTACCAGTTATCATAGTTTTAAGAATTTTTCCCCTGATTGGTTGCAGTGTGTTATCATGCTTGATTTGACAACGTGGGGTAATGGAGTCACACCCGCAGACAGTTGAGTGCAGATCCTCGTAAGTCGTTTTCTTCGTTTACTCCCACGTGGACATCCCCAATGTTTTTCCAGGTGTATTCATTTGCGCTAGTTGACATGATTGTTACAACCGTTAGTTTCTTTGGGACCTATGGCCATCTCCTGGATCCCTCGGTCGCAGCCCTTAGCCTCACGCCAAGGGAACCTCAGCATCCTTTCATCATCACCACTGTACCCCTGCATGACGTCACCTTTGTGCTAATGTAATTGCTGTGTGTTTGCCTTTGACTGGTTTGACATGTCACGTTCCGTCAGTTATGTTGGATTATGTTGTGTTGGATCTACTTGGAAGACAAGCTTTTAATTATGTTATGTTGGATCATGTTGTAGACAAGCTTATAATTATATTATGATATGTTGGATTATGTTGGGCAGGGGCGGGGATAGGTGGCGGGAACGGGGATTAGAATTTACCAGTGGACATGGATAAGGATGAAAAGTAGTCCCGTTAACTAGAGTGGACCAGAGATGATCGGAGTTTTTTTAAGTCGGTACGGGGTTGGAGACTATTCCCCCCGCCCCTGGATTAGTCCACTGTCATCCCTATGTTGTACGGATGGTTGTTGAAATTTAAAAGTATAACTGTGGTCTATGAGCTATATATTAAATTCTACTTTAGTTCCTCAATTGTTAATTGCGACACTTTTAATTCCCTTGTAATTAGGGGTGTCAATTTTTGACTCGAACACGAACTCTATTTGAACCGAACCCGACACGAACTCGAAAATAACATGATTAGTTGACACGAGTAATAAATGGGTCAATTTAAGGTTCGACGTGAATAACACGATTAATGGGTATAGTAGATAGAAAATAATTATTTAATGAGTATTGTCGATAGAAAATAAGAATTTTATAATTTTTTAAATAGTATTATATTAGTTGTTGTCAAATTAAATAAATTTTTTATTAACACAAATATTGACAGAACCCGACACGTACCTAAAGTGACACGACACGACACGATTGACGCCCTTACTTGTAATCAATTTGTCTCAATGGTTGATTGGTTAACTTCTATCCAAATAATTATTGAAAATGATTATACAATTGATGATAGTTGGCACATGGTCCACTGCCGATTTGAATTTCAAAAAATGACCATTTGTAAGTATCTTAGAGATTTTTGGGACTACAATGTTTCAAATAAAAGCTATGTAGTATGAAGACTCTATTTAGGTCGACGTATTTGAAATATGCAAGTATCCAAAAGAAATCGATTTCGAATATGGAACTAAATATGCATTTAAATTTTAATCTTTAATTTTTCCTCTTGAATTGACATACAAATATACCCATAAAGAAAAATCTACGTAGCTTGAGGATACATTGGGGATTCTTAATGATTTTCTACTACCACATGTCAAGAAGTAGTTAATTACGCCCTGTCTCTCGATCACAAGTGCTTTTAAGCAAACCAACGAGTTAAATGTTTGTTTTGGTTCTTGAAGTTCACTTTCTGGGTATGTCATGAAGTGCTATGATTCGGTATACTGTTGTGTTAGTATTGGATTGTACTAGTATTCTATATCCATATCCATGCTTCCTACATTTAAAGTTATAAGATTCAAGTGGAACTGATATATAATTTCAGATTCAAGCACTTTACTAAAAAAAATTCACGTTAAAATGATTTTTAGTAATTTCTGCTACAGAGTATCTTGTTCAACTATGCTTATTATCTATTATTTACAATGCTTTGTTTCAGGTCACTACCACAGATGTCAGCATTATCAGCTTGCATTTTGGGGAATGGTGTATCTACCCGGAATACTGGGGCAGGTTTGAGCAAGGGATTTTATGGCAGGCATGTTTTTACTTCTTCTAGCATTCCATCAAATGGTAAGGCATCAAAAGCAGCCATTGTAAAAGCATCTCTGGACCAAAGGCAGCATGAAGGAAGAAGAGGCTTTCTAAAGTTGTTGCTGGGAAATGTGGGACTTGGTGTACCTGCCTTATTAAGTAGTGGAAAGGCATATGCAGATGAGCAAGGGGTTTCTAACTCAAGAATGTCTTACTCTAGATTTTTGGAGTATTTGGACAAGGATAGGGTAAAGAAAGTAGATTTATTTGAGAATGGGACCATAGCTATTGTTGAGGCTGTTTCTCCAGAGTTGGGAAACCGGGTGCAGAGGGTCCGCGTGCAACTCCCAGGACTCAGCCAGGAGCTCCTTCAGAAGTTCAGGGAAAAGAACATCGACTTTGCTGCACACAATGCTCAAGAGGACTCTGGTTCATTGTTATTCAACTTGATTGGAAATCTGGCTTTCCCACTGATCCTGATTGGGGGTTTGTTCCTTCTATCAAGGCGCTCCTCCGGAGGAATGGGTGGACCTGGTGGGCCTGGTTTCCCCCTTTCCTTTGGTCAGTCAAAAGCTAAGTTCCAGATGGAACCAAACACTGGAGTAACTTTCGATGATGTTGCTGGAGTAGACGAAGCAAAGCAGGATTTTATGGAAGTTGTGGAGTTTTTGAAGAAGCCTGAAAGGTTTACTGCTGTCGGGGCTCGCATTCCTAAGGGGGTTCTTCTTGTTGGTCCTCCAGGAACTGGGAAAACCCTGCTAGCCAAGGCGATTGCTGGTGAAGCAGGTGTTCCGTTTTTCTCAATATCTGGTTCTGAGTTTGTTGAGATGTTTGTTGGTGTTGGTGCCTCTCGAGTCCGTGATCTTTTCAAGAAGGCCAAGGAGAATGCTCCCTGCATTGTATTTGTTGATGAAATTGATGCTGTTGGACGTCAAAGAGGAACTGGAATTGGAGGTGGTAATGATGAAAGGGAACAGACCCTTAACCAGCTCCTGACAGAAATGGATGGTTTTGAAGGAAACACTGGTATCATTGTAGTTGCAGCAACTAATCGTGCAGACATTCTTGACTCTGCCTTACTCAGGCCAGGGCGGTTTGATAGACAGGTAAGTGCACTTCAGCATATGCAGTTTGCTCGTATTAAATATGGAGATATTTAAGATAAGCTCTGGTGCAGGTAACTGTTGATGTTCCAGATATTCGGGGGAGGACAGAGATCTTAAAGGTTCATGCCAGCAATAAGAAGTTTGATGCAGATGTGTCTCTTGACGTCGTAGCCATGAGAACACCTGGTTTTAGTGGAGCAGACCTTGCAAACCTCTTAAATGAGGCAGCCATATTGGCTGGTCGACGTGGAAAGACAGCGATCTCACCTAAAGAGATTGATGATTCGATTGACCGGATAGTAGCTGGAATGGAAGGGACAGTTATGACAGACGGGAAGAGCAAAAGTCTGGTGGCCTACCATGAAGTTGGCCATGCCATTTGTGGGTGAGTTTGATATTGTCCTGGTTTTTCTTGTTGCTTCTGGAAGTTCTCTGTTTCTTGATGGTGTGTAAGTTTGAATTTTTTAGGTGTCTTTTGGTCTCATTCCCCTTCTTTCTACCAGCTTCCCCAGGCAGTCTTCGTCATTAGCATATCTATCGAAAGATATTTTATGGCGTTGGATGGTAGAACAGTAATGTTTTAAATAGACAGTAATGGCATACTTGGTGGTTGTTTTTTTTGTGTGTATGTTCTTGTATGCACATGTGGAAGTCTAGTATCAAAGTAGAAACGTAAGATAAAACACGTGGAGTCACCAAATATGAATGGGTATTGAAAGAATTGGTATTCGTAAATTTGAAATATGTGTTAACATGTGGCACATAATTCACTAGCCCGGCTAAAAATGAGATTCTGCTGTAATCCTTCTTACCCAATAAATTTTCTTGACATGTTCTTCCATGCCTATGATGGCGATTCTGTGTTCAGTTTTAATTCATGGTCTGTCTACGTCTCCTTTTTTATCTATTCTAGACCAATTCAATCTCTCTCTCTCTCTAGTTTTTTTAGGTAAATCTCCCTCTCTAGTTGTGACAGGTGGAAATGATACGTGTTGGCCACAATCAGCTCCTGTAAATCTAGATACAGACATCCTGTTGTATACATTATGATCGCTAATTCACTCCATTGGGCATACATTTTTATATATACATATATCACCTTGATGTTGTGAATGCATTTAGGAGAACCACATAGAGTTGCACTTGGCTGAAAATCAGAACTATATGTGATGACCAAGATTGATTCTATAATAAGTTTCTTTGCAAAAGAGAACTCAATACTAAGTTCCTTTCTGAAGAATGGCCGAATTGTAACACCTGCACATATCATTTGAAAACTCTGGTTCTGACATGTTGAAATGTCTGCACAAGTGTTGGATGACTGAGTACCCCAACATTGCAATTATAAAATGGGAACATATCCTTTGTGTCATAGATATGGGCGCAGACTATAATTGAAACGTAGTTTACGTATGCAGGAATTCCTCTTGGTTAAGCAAATATAGGACGGAATAATAATATTTTTGTGGTGATGTATCAATTGTATTTATTCAAATACTTTTTTGTGCTCCTTTCAGTTACTTTAGCTATGCTAGAAAAGTTAACTCTTTCATACTTGCATGACTGATATTTGGACTTGGGAATTGATCACATAGATCGAAAATGTTCTTGATTTCAAAATAATTACAGAAGCAGCTAGTTTTTTTTTTGGTCAATACAGAAGCAGCTAGTTGATTGAGTAGGAATAGGAGAGTTTTGAGTTTGCTGACAGTTAGTGTGGCACGAAAACAAAGTTGTACGTTTTGTGCCTATTGTGTGAAGGTTGAACTGTTCTTCATATGAGTGGCAGATTGCCACCCCTTTGTGCTTATTATTTGTTGAACACATTTTGCAGAATTTTGTATAAATCTTTATTTTATGGCTGTTTCTTGAATCTGCTATCACATAGCTAGGTTTACCATAGCTCCAGTTTGCATTAAGTCAAGACATTTCGGAACTAGTAATGTGGAAGATCTCATTCTTGTTTCTTATTGTGTTCCCTGCCATGCAGCACTCTTACTCCAGGGCATGATCCTGTCCAAAAAGTCACCCTGGTACCCCGTGGTCAGGCACGAGGTCTGACCTGGTTTATTCCGGCAGATGACCCTACCTTGATCTCCAAGCAACAACTCTATGCTAGAATTGTTGGTGGACTTGGTGGAAGAGCTGCTGAGGAAGTGATCTTTGGTGAGCCTGAGGTGACCACAGGTGCAGGTGGTGATTTGCAGCAGATTACTAGCTTGGCCAAGCAGGTAAAATAACTTTTGCTCTCATCGTCAAGTAAAGGTTTTAAATCTAGCGCAACAACTTTAGCCGTGGCCAAAATTGAAAATCTTTAACAGAATATTGGGATGAAATTCCAAGTATCCAGATCTTTTACAGAGTTTGCACTAAATAATGATAACAGCAATGAGGTCAAAATAATCAAAAAAGTTTGTAATGTTGGAGATGGAAAAAAATGTTTCAATATGTTTGAATCATGTCTATATATAATGGGAAGTGAGCTTGTATCCCACATCAGAGCAAGACAACACAAGTTTAGCTTATATGATTAAGGGATCCCAAATCAAACAATGAAAGACCACACAATGTTGGTTTAGTGGTTAAAGGGTCTCTTCATTTATGGTCAATTGTTTGGAGGTGGTTGGATGTTCTCACATGGTCCTTATGTGGTTAGTGAACCAAGTCTCTTGTCCATGTGAATATCACGGTATGAATGTTTGTCGGTTAGCCCTATGTGCAAGCCCGTTTGAGGGTGTGCGTGTATCCCACATCAAATTATTAAGACCACCCAAGATTAGTTTATATGATTTATAGAGGTCTACTCATTGTCAATTGGTTTTGAGTTGGATGCTCTAAAAATAACATCTTGCTGTACGAGCCTTTTTTTGTGTGTGTGTGTGCATGAGTTAGATCTTATGTTGGTGCAATATAAGGTCTGCTTTTGCGGTGTTCAGCAGCTTGGAGTCTCTAATTCATTGGATTATTTTCTTTGAAAATGATGGGTTCACCCTTTGTGTTTGCAGATGGTGGTCACTTTTGGCATGTCTGAAATTGGCCCATGGTCGCTTATGGACTCATCGGCTCAGAGCGGTGATGTCATTATGAGAATGATGGCGAGGAATTCAATGTCTGAAAGGCTTGCCGAAGATATCGATGCTGCCGTTAAGAGGATTTCAGATGGTGCATATGAGATTGCCTTGACCCTTATAAGGAACAATCGCGAGGCAATTGATAAGATAGTGGAAGTCCTCCTTGAGAAGGAGACGATGACTGGAGATGAATTTCGCGCAATTCTTTCTGAGTTTGCCGAAATTCCTGCTGAAAATCGGGTTCTTCCTTCAGTACCATCTCCAGTTACTGTATGATAGCAAAAATATATTGTAGCTTTTATTTTATACTTGTTCACACATCTTTGGATGATTTGTATAATTTATAACCTTTGGTTGTAGTATATAGGAAGAATACCAAAATTTTCATAATCTCTTGTATTCTATCCAAGACTTTGTAACTCAATAGCTAGTGTGAGCAAAGGTTGAAAACAGGTTGATCTGTCAGTTCATTGTCCATTTTCACGGTCTCACCTTGTGCTTTGATCACCCAACTTAGCTTTACCGCAATGACTTGACAAGAATAGTGTATTATGTTGGATAAAAACACTTGGTACGTTAATGGTAATCTTTTGCATATACTGAAGTAGATAAGGCTAGGGTACTGAATCCCAAGACAACCATAACAAGTACTGAATCCCAAAACCAAACATTAATCAACAAATCATAATTTACAAGTTGCATTCCAACTATTTACACAAAAGTATAACTAATAAACAATTTAAGTTTCTAATCAATATGAATCAATACATTCACTTTGTGTTCAACTCTAAACTCAAAATCAATCCCCCGGTGAACCCTTAGATGGAACCGACGTCGACGTCTGTGCACCAAGCACACATCCTCAGAAGATTCATGTGAGTATCATTTACAAATGCGTTATGTCATATATGCACATATATGGATGCTTGGTCATATTTGAATTAATACAGCTCCCATCCCCTACCCAAGTGATATAATTAATATAAGTCAATACCATAGATTAGGTTATACAAACAAACACATTAATTTCCATGTTGACATTTATGGGTTAGATTGACTAACTTGTAATCTACTAGTTAAAACTCTGTTCATCAGTCATAGAATTTTCAGTCAACTTTTGACGGCCACCAATTTTCACACAAATAAAATTAGGTGATGTACTTTATATGGTAAGAAAGATCTAAGAGTCTAGGTTCCAATAAAAAAAATGGTGCATCAATTGAAATTTCCTAGAGAGAGTAATCATGATTCTCCCACAGAAACTCAAATTGGACTGTGCCCAAAAATATGCACCTACTATTTTGTATCGGTACAATTTGTACCAGTTCATTAGTGCACAAGCTTGTACCGGTTTTTCTGTGGGCAGAATGTCTTTATATCAGTACAAAACTACTTATACTGGTTCATTCCTAGTTTTTTTTCATGCGATTCAGTTCAAACTTTTCCTATAATCATTTGTCTCATACATAACATCTCCCTGACGATCAATTAAAATAATTTAACTACATGAGAATCCCCCAACTGAAAACCCCCATAACTAATGGTCTTGAACCAAACTCAATTCCATCCCCACAAATTTGAAAGAAAATTAACCATCCTTTAAGGAATTAAAAGACTAAAGCATACCAAGTAAAGGAAAGAGATTTACCTACAAAGGAAATCCTCTTCTCCAACTCACCGAAATTTCCAAGTGACAACCCTAGGATTTTTTGGTGCCGATACTCCTCTCTTGGCTCTCTGTGTTTTTTTTTTTCCCTTGTTAATCTTTCTTTGTGTTCATTTCCCACTCAACAAACGGAACGGAGTCTTCAAAATTGAAGACACAGTCTGATGATGTACAAAACAATCTCGTGCAGGATCAACAGTAGAGTGTGTGACAGTGTATAATTAATGAACAATTAATAAAGTAATCAATAACAGTAATGTAAATATTGAGTCAACACACAAATATATAGTGGTTCGGCTCGGGTGACCTACTCCACTCTGAGAAACAGCAACAATGACCCGGAGGTCTTCATTGATGAAATAAGGTAAACGGAGAGAGCAATGGTTCGCTCCGAGAGGGAGGGATATAATAGCTAGGAGAGAGAGAAAATGTGTAGAGAGATGTAGAGGTGTAGAGTGGTATAGTGAGATACCCCTCTCAATGGAGAAAGTTTACAATTTATAGGCATGGTAATGCGGCGACGTGAGGGTAAAAGCACTAACTTTTCGGGGAGAATAGTTACAAAAGGTAAGTACAATTAAGATAGTCATGATCTTCTTCGAGAGTGAGTATCCCGATAGTATGTCTCTCACGTGCTCTTATCTTCCTGAATACTTTGAATTTTGGATCGGGTCGAATTGATGTATCAGACTGGACCTACCTTTTTAGTGGATCTGAGCTTACTTAATTTACTAGGTCTAACCCAATTAGATCCGAGCTCGTCACAGCGCAATCACTCACTCACCTGTCCTGATGATTCACCCAAATTTGATTTAATTACACTAAAGCTCCTTCTGTTTTCCTTATTCACATACACAACACTTGATTTTCGTCACCTAATAAATCACACCCAAAACAATTCACCATTTTATAATACAATCAGATGGCCAATAAAAAACATTCATAAAAAAAAATAAAGAAAGACTTTATCGACGTGAGGGGATTAGCAGATCTGCTTGAAGATATAGAAAGTGACATAATATTCTACAAGGCATTAGAGGACGTCGAACGAAGATTCAATCATTTGAATAATACTTTTCAGGTAAATATCTCTTTTTCAAATATTCTTTTGGTTTTGGTGTGGGAATAGAGCATAAATTTGCACATTTTTATCTAATGTTAAAAAAAATTAACGATTTTTTTAACAATTTTTTTTTTAAAAAATCCATACACATTATATAATTCTAAATTTCGAACTATGCCGGTGCTTACTGTGTGGATAAGGGCAACGAGGATAATTTTAGTGGCGTATCGTGTGAATTTTATTTTTAAGGAAATTGAGGTCAATTTATCTTAAAAGACATTTACTTTTAGAGATGTTAGATGATTTTTATTTGTAATTTGAATTTAACGCTAGATGAATGGATATATTTGTACCTAAATGTTCATTTTGTTGATAACCATTTAAAGTTTACTTTCATTAAAATTGAGTTGACGCACACTTTTATTTTAGTTTATTGTTCTGAGTTTGTCTTATTTGACATCATCTGTTATCTTTTAAGCATCACTTGATTTTAATTTTACAGTAGGTCGTACATTGCACAGTCCTACTAGTTAATGAAACATAAAAAAGTTGAAAGCATTAGTCCTACCCTTACTAGCCTTTGTCCGACATACCTAATACGAAATTTGCATTACTAACCTTGATTCAAGGTGATGTTTCTATAAATGATGGATCGCAAAGACAATTATACATAAATTTATTAAAACAACAATGCTGAAAAATCCCAACTTGCTCCATGTGAAATGGAGAAGTATGAGCTTTGTTCGATTAGATTAACGAAGCAATAACCCAATGTGAAAAGTAGAAGTATGACCTTTGATCCGTTGGTGATTAGACAAAATTTATCTGGAGAGAGCAAGGGATGAAAACTAATTGGAGAGACCGACATAAGGAGGTTACTTTTAACGTGATCAGTACGAGGAAGACTCTTGTTTGCACCTTAAAATGATTTTTTTTTTTTTTGGAACAACACCTTAAAAGGACATAGAGACGTGTGTCAAGGTATTAAAGATGTGGGTTAGTTTATCTTGATGCTAATTGATAAACATCTCCACAGTATATTGGTTAGTGATAGTTTGTAGCACGCTTTGAAACCTTTAAAAAGAGATAGAAACAGCTTAGTTGTAGTTAAAAGTACGACTCTCGCTTTCAAACCTTAAAAAGAGAGACAGACGGATATGCCCATAATATATATATATATATATATAAAATAAAGTAGAATATTGAATCCAAGAGACAAAGAGTGGTTCAGATTATTTTGAGACAAAACATAAACAAATCCAACGAACAACATAATCTCAATATAAAAAACGGTTCAGATCTTCTCAAAAATCTTGACCTAACTGTGCGCAGTGATTACCGAATTTTATTTTCCCACCCACCTCCTCTCTCACGCGTCTCTGCCTCTCTCCCAATCTCTCATGCCTCTCTCTCTCTCTCTCTCCTGCCTCATCCCAAAATCTCTCAAATGGAATCCATCTCAATCTCTCTTTTGTCAATCTCAATTCTTCACTCACACACTCTTCTGTCAATCTTTGTGTCGCTGCTTTTCCTCCACCAGAAAAGTCAGAGCCCAGCCAACATCGTTGCCCAGGTACTTATTTTTCTCTCACTCACTCATTCACTCACACACTCTCTCTCTATGTTCATTCTCTTTCTCTGTCAATACTCGCTGCAAATGATAGTGACGCTAAAGCACTATGTGTGTGTGTGTGTGCTTATGCCAAATTTTGAGATTAAATTTCTTAAGGATACCGCCAGCAGCGTCAGAGCCATTACTGCCACCACCCACTAATGCATTCTAAGAGATTGATAGAACGCCAAAGAGAAGAAACAATTTTATCCACTTATTTTTTTGTAAAGGATCTTTGTTCGTTCTCTTGGTTTGCATTGTTTTTTTCTCTCTTTAATACCCAGTTTTCAAATTTCATGCATTTTGTTATTGTTTTTGTGTTGGGTACACTATCATGGAAGAGTCATTCTCCGCTCAAAATTTTCCCTTTTGATCAACATTTTCCAATCAAATGAAGTACCAGTTTTAATGTTTTAGTTAGAATTAGAGTTTCAATTGACTCCTATGAACTCTTCAATCAATTTGGTCAATTGGGTTTTAATCATGCGATTGCAACTTCAGGCCCTCATGATGTTAAGGTCCAGATGAAAGTTGTGGGCATATTTGGAAGTGTTCATCATTTCAAGGTAAACTGCTCAAACTGCCAGCATTTTCCAATCAAATGAAGTACCGATTTTAATGTTTTAGTTAGAATTAGAGTTTCAATTGACTCATATAAAAAACAATAACGAAAGGCATAGAGAGAGACGGAGAGGAGAAAGGTACGCTTCGGATATTCACATTTATGTGTGTGTATGTATTATGCTTACATTTTCCATTTGAGATCAGAGTTTTTGTTGAATAGGAGATTTTCGTATATAGGTATGTATATGCATGAATAACTGCTGTTTTTAGGCTCTGTGTTGCGAATTTGTGATTGCCTTTGTATTTGAAAATTCGTGTTTTGAATAGGAATTAGTGATTGAGGATATATAACCATCAAAATATTGTTAGTCTCCTTTACAATTTTATTGGAAAGGAATTTGTGATTGAGGAATTCGTGTTTTGCATAGGAAAAAAAAATGGATAATTGTGTTGTTCCGTTTTGGGTTTGGAAAAAAAATTCTGTGAAACTGTATAAATATTTAGGAAAAATTTGTAAATCCTAAAATTTTCATACTGTTTGTTTTGTAATTCACAAGCTTCCCTGTGAATTGAGTAACAAGTAAATAATGCTACCTTCTTAATATTTTAGTGGTAGTTCAGTTTAGAGTGACAATGAACTAAGAATAACCAAAAGCTACACAATAGACATCACAAAAGAAACAAATATCAACACAATATCCTAACACAATGAGATATATGCAACCTCAGTAGTAGAATTGCTCATAACATACAACAAAACATATATCATAATTTATTGGCAACATTGTAGTATTCAAGAGCAGCAATTTGGGCACCAAATCAATATGTTCTCATTGCAATCCGAGCACCTCCTCAATTTTCCTTCCTCTTCCTCAAACACTTTTCGACTTCCATTACAATTTAGGCACGACACAAACCTTGCATCCCGACAATTGTCACAAACAATCCCTGGATCTTGAGCTAGGAATCCTTCCAAAAGCTTTGCCAACTCTCTAACCTCATGAAGTTGCTTAATCTCATCCACACCACCAATATGCTTCCCTCTAATAAACACATGTGGCAAACTCACAGCCTTCCCTCCTAATACACTCTGCAATTCCTTCCTATACATTGAATCCATACATATGTCCCTTTCATCCACAATCACCCTAAAGCCCCTAAAGATTTGTCTTAATCACAATAATATTGGATATAGATCAATGCTAAATGTTCATTCACCCAATCTATATATTAGGAGATTTATCTTAATCACGAATCAATCTATAAATGTTCATTCATGTTTCTCCAAATGAGTTCTTTATCCATGTTAAACTAAAAGAATAACCTGAAATAACCACAATCATACCATCCTACAATTAGATGCTTAAAACAAAGTAGCAGCTGGAACAGTCACTGTTCACGTCACTGTTCAGCTGCTGCCTTCAATTCATTCAATACAACAGCTTCTCTCTCTTTCTAGATATTACTTCTCAACTATTAAAGTGCAGCTGAACCATTGTTTCAGCTTACATGTCTGAGTCTTTCAACTGGAATTTCGAGCAAGCTATTTTTTTATTGGTTTCAAGCAGGCTGTTTTGTTATTGGTTTCACATGTCTGAGTCTTTCACACTTCTAATTTTTGTTATTGGTTTCACATTGTTGCCTTAACTATCATTCACTTCTAAATCATACTTTTCTTTTTAAGAAATATATTTTTATGGGAAAAGCTTCCATCCTCCCAGTGTGAACAACTCCATGAAATACTACATACAACATGTCAGTTAGAGTGCAAAAAGTATCAAACAACAACTTAGGCCTGTCTTTTGACATAATGGTAATCATTGTGTAATCCTTTTCAATACAATCAAATATTGTCACATGAGGTCTTGAGCTCTTATTATCAATTTTTCCACATTCAAATTTGTCAACCTGTTCATAGTCCCGATCAGCAAGCATGATCTAATGTAATCTTTTCTCCCTATGCATAAATAAGGAGGTGAAAGTGTCATTTTTGTTGTCTTCAAGTCATTGTTTCCCTTAAGACTATTACAAAGAAATTCCTTTATTGTGGAGAGCCGCTTTGTATCGTCAATTGCACACCCTGTAGTATCATCTGTCACATGAACAACAACTGCAACTCTAGCATTATGTGTTCATTTTTTACAAGTAACGCAGTGCCTTCAAATTGATTTTTTTTGTCGTACAATACATTTAGGTACGAACAATAACTAATATATATATACAAAGAGAGAGAGAGAGAGAGAGAGAGAGAGAGGTTCAGATCGTTTTGAGACAAAACATAAACACATCTAACGGACAAACATAATCCCAACATAAAAAATGGTTCAGATCATTTCAAAAATTTTAATCTAATAGTCTACGGTGAGTACTAACTTTTATTGTGTGAGTGACAATGTATAAAGTTCATGTATTCTTCTTCTTTTTTTGTGTATATTATGTTATATTCTTGGACAAAGAAAGGTGTGTGTGAAGTTTCTACTTGTCAAGGATGTTTAGACCTATAGAAGTTATAGTGCGTGGTGTGTTGTATCTTGGAGACGACATATTGTGATCTACTACACCGGATATATAATCCGTAGATGTGTGAACTGTCTTAAAGATAGCGACTTAATCCGTGCCTCAACCCAAGCTAAGTACTTCAGTTGTGATATGAAATATATTGTTATCTTCATTTGAACGATGTTCGAGGTAAATGTGATAATTCTATTCAATTTCACGTTTATAAAATTTGTCGGATTGATGTTTATTTCTAATTATATCCAAATCGAGTTTCAACAGATATAGTATCACAAACTAATAATATCAAAATAAATAAGTAAATGGATCTCACTAAAATTAATAATCAACCCTCCACATAAATAAATAACTATTTACTCTTCTTCTATGTAAATAAATAACTATCTAAGTGTGGTTTATCTTACCCACTTGATATTTTATTATTAATTGGTGATACCGTAATGCTGACACGATATCACCGTTGCATACAATATTTACTCATCAATGAGGTAACGACCAATAGCATAAGACCATGTCTTTTAGAAAACTTAAGGTTAATTATACCGGAAGTCTTCAGTATGTAAAAATAAATTGGATTATTTGTTGATATAGAATTAAAAATTTATTTAAATATTTAAAAAATAAATTAAATTTGATGGAAACAATAATATGACTTTAATGACATTAAAATAATATGACTATTTTTGATGTCCTAATCTCAGAATTTCAGAGGGGATCAGACCCCAAACCCGAATCCTTGGACCAGAACCCAGACTCGGAACTGTACCAGAAAAACGAAGCGCACCGAGACCCGACACCGGACCGTGAACCCAGGTCTGAATCTGAGTGAATCACTTCCTCCGTGTTCACTCGAAATTTTTACTGATTTTTGCCATTCCCGCCATTGTACAAAACGTTCTTGCGCATTTCGCGCCAATAATAAAATGTGATCACCCACAAATTTACTGTATACACCTCACATATGCCGTTGTGCAGCTCTGTTCAAACTTATTTGCGAAAAAAAAACTCTGTTCAAACTTCTTCCAGGTAACTCTCTCTCTCTCTCTCTCTCTCTCTCTCACACAGCATCTGATTTTAATTATAGTATAAACTATGATAGTTATGATGTAGCTTTATTACCCTACAACCGTCAGTTTGGGAGTTTCTGGAACACACTAGTCCAGACCAGAGAAAGGTTTTGCTCAAGGTTTGGACTTTGGATCCTTCAATTTTGAGAGTGCTTCTCCAGACTAAAAAAGGGATTTTCTTGGTTTCTGTTTTTGTGGTACAAATCCTTTAGTATCTCAAACTGGGTCCCTAACAGGCTTCTGGGTACTAGGATTTTTTTTATGTAATTACAAAGATTTATGATTTTATTATAGATAGATAAAGATAAAATAGTACCATATAACCTTTAAAAAAGGGAGTTTTGGGTCTCTAGCATTCTTCTGGGTCCTAGGAATGTTTTATTGAATTAGAGAGTTCTATGTCTTCATTAGTGATACAGATGAATAATACCATATAATTTTGAAAAATGAGTTCTTTTTTTTTTGCTGGGGTAGTTTTTATTTAGTTATTAATATTATTATTCGTTTTTTTTTTGGGTGGTGATGGGGGGGGTTGCTCCTTTGCTTTTAGCGTCATATTATGTTCACATTGTAGGCAACAGGCCTTCTCCTCTATTAATACTTTCTGATGGTTGTTAAGGTTTCGTTCTGCACTTCACATACATCTATGTAAATTTGATTAAGTTCTAAGATAGATTTGGGGAAAAAGAAAGAAATCCAACATATGTTTACACCAAGGAATGCCAAAAGGAAGCACAAATTCGATTATTTAGATATAAATTGATATATTTAATTAATTATCTAAGTTTGAATACGCTATTATATTTCAAGAATTTAGATATAAGATTTAGTTTTTGATCAAATTTCTAATATTTAATTGATATGGATATGGATTGTAAAAATGAAATTCGTTGGATAATCAGATTAGATTCAAAATGGAGTTTTCAAATTGAACTTGGATTCGGATCACTTGAAATCTGATGGTTGACATGCATATTTTATAGTTTGTTTACAAAATGATTTGTCAAAATAACATTCCCTATGAAAATTGTTCTAATATTTGTATTTTCTATAAAATAACTTTCATATAACTTTTCTTAATTATGTTCTATCTTTTTACGTGAACTTTATGCGTGAAAAACTTTTAAAGCAGCAAAGAAAAAAATTACCATGCAGAATTGCTTTATAAAGAGTGTAAATGTTAAAATATTCATGTTTGCAAGACACAATAAATTTTGATGACTGTTCTTTAGTCGTTCTATTCAACATATGGTTGCTCCATAGGATATGGACTCTGCCCCTGCCCAGGCCATTAGCATGATATTATGTTCACATTGTTTTCGACAGGCCTTTCCCATGTTTTTACTCTCCTCTATTAATAATTTCTGGTGGTTGTTAAGGTTTCATTCTGCACTTCACATACCTCTACGTTCATTTTGCATCAAGTTCTAAGATAGATTTCGAAAAAAAAAAAGAAAGCAATCCAATATATGTTTACACCGAGGAATGCCAAAAGGAAGCACAAATTCACTGTTTTGATATCATTTGATCTCTCATAAACCTTTCTTGTGTTTGAATGTGATGTTAAATGGTCTTTGGGCCATTTCCAACTGGCTGTTTCTGTATTTCATTGCATCAAGAGATAGTTAAGTACCCCTCTTCCTATTTAGGAAGCGGAGCAAGAAAACCAATCATCTCTTTTCTTGTCCTTGTACTTGAGGGGCAAAGAGAAGCACTTTTGCTATTGAGTCTATGATTTGTAGCGCTCAACTCCTGACCCATTTTGCACAGATATTAAAGAACAGCCATGGAAAGGAGAAGAAATTCAACAGCTTTGGATACCCAAAAAGGTGATAATGAGGCAGACGAACAAGTTCAAAGATTTGGTCACTCCATTAAGGATCTTCCTGAGCCCATCTTTCTAAATATTCTACTAAGACTTCCCATAATGGGGATTATCATGTGCAAGTGTGTATGTAAAAGTTGGCACCATATAATTTCCAGCCCTTGGTTTGCGAAGATGCACTTTGGACAAGCACAGGCTAGCCCTTTGGTTTGAACCTTGGGTGCCACCCATGTGTCAAGAATGTGTTACTTGGTTGAGCTGCCAGAAGATGATGTTAGGCATTGGAATGGTAGTTATTTTGACAACTTAATAAGGGGCCAGCACATTAATATAAAACTTGATACCAAATTAAATATCCCTGTGCGCAATGCTGAAATGGTGCTTAACAGTGGAGGCGATGCTCAAATGAGTCGCTTTTGCAACAGTGGTATCAAGAGGAAGCGATGTGTTAAACTGAAACCAAAAGATCATAAATTCAGATTTGTAAATTCATGTAATGGCTTTCTTTGTTTGTCAGAACCCTCAGATAATGAGCCCATTGTCGTATGTAATCCAGTTACAGGGGAGTATACACACCTTCCAATGGCTGAGAAGGCCGTCCAGAATAAAAGAAATTTCATTGATTGCAGGTTCGGCTACAGTCCAAAGACTAATCAATACAAGGTGATTAGAATGTTTAATCTGGCGACTTCTCAGTTGATT